AACCACGTATCACGAAATGGAAGAAAGCAGACCTTTATTTCAGCCCCCACCCCACCAGGACCCAACACCATGGCACACGGCCTGGTGTCCAGAGGGCACAGTCCAGAAGAGCCCGGTGGACACAGCCCCACAACACAGCATCACAGATTCCCCAGTGGGGGTGCCTGGGGTCCCCTGCGGATGGGGACGGGGAGCAGGGCCCAGACCCTGAGGAGCAGCACAGACAAAAGGCTCCAGAGGAGCCCCAGGACCTGCTGTGGCATCCCTGCTTTGGGATGGAAGCAGCAGCAGCAGCTGCGGGAGGTTCCTGCTTTGGCCAAACCTGGGCCCGGCTAGAGGACCATCCCGAAGGCAGGGACAGCCCCAGGCGTGGGCTCCTGGCACTGGCCAGCAGGCAGAGGCAGTGTAAACACATCCGAGGGTGGGGAGTGCCTAGTGGCCAAGCCAGGTGCTCTCTGAGCTGGGAGTTGCCTGGGTCCCAGGAACAGCAGGGTGATGAGGTGGAGAGGACTTGGGCAGCAGGGCTCTAGGAGATTGGGGCCTAGGAAAACAGGTTCCATGGAAAAGGAGGAGAAAGTCAGGGAGAAACTGCCGGGCAGGGAGAGACCAGGGGCACAGAGGAGACTGAGGCTGAATGACTTCCCTTCTCTTCTCCTGCCAGCTCTGTAAGCTCTGGGGTGGGCGGCCCTGAGTTCTCCCAGCTGGGGAGGAGGACAGCCTCCTTTACCAGCTTCTCCCCGAGTCACATCACATGGGCATATCTGAGATGGAGTCCTGGGAACAAGGCGGAGCTGAGGGTGAGAAGGGACCCCCTCAGCCCTGCCTGCCCCACCTCTGCCCCAGACTGAGTTTGGGCCCCAGCTCCTCCTCCTGCCCTCTGGGTGATGCCCTGCCTCAGCCAGTTCACACTAATCCTCCTGCACAACTCTTTCCTGAAGCGCCCCTCAATCAAGGCCATTAACTACCAGAGGCCCCTCGCAGGCAGGGAGGGAAGGACAGGAAAGGGCGGGGCCAGGGTGGAGAAGGAAGGAGGGAAAAGGCTGTCAGGTCCAGTGCTCACAGTGCAGTCTGCCCTCAATCCCTGGGACCTAAGTACAGAGAAAAATCTGAAGAGAGATGGTTAAGAATGTACATACTTTAAAAAATAAATTGTGTGTGTGTGTGTGCGCGTGCACATCAGGGTTTTAAAAAAAATCTTTAATTCATCATCTCCAAACTCAGTGGAAAATGTTTTTTTTTAATTGTACTATATTACTCACTATAGCAGCACCACCTTAAGTAACCAGAACCTACAAGTGCTGGATTTTAGGTTTTCTTATACGTTCTTTCTCTGCCTTTACGAAGGAGGGGAAGACCATTAAGCTTGCAGAGTTCATGAGTCAGGCAAAGCAACCACCAGGAGCGCCTGTAATCCTAACATCAGCCAGTCCAGAGTCCTGAGCTCCAATGCCTACAGATGCCAGACTGTTACATAAGGGATGTTAAGAAGATCTTGGTGTCTTGGAGTCCAAGGGAAGTGGTGGGCACTGTGAAAATGGAAGAGTGAAACCCTGGAGAGAGGGGATGAGGGGATGATCTATCTTTAGCTCCAGCGGGAAGTCAGCAGTTGCCCCTGTGTGGGGCTTTTGATTTCAGAGAAGACGGGAACTTGGTAGACATTTTTACAATGTGTTATTTCTTGATTTTTAACTGCTAGCTCAACCCCAAACCCAAACCACCCCGTTGACCATTGAAAACAAGTCTCAGGGCTAGTTTCTCGCCTGGTTTGTATGAAATCTTAGCGATTCTGAGATTTAGGGATCCTGGGATCATTTAGTTCCGTGATCTGGAAGCTGTAATGTGCATATAAGTACTCTGAGGGAACTTGTTAAAATGCAGATTGTGACTTAATACATCTAGGCCTGAGATTCTGCATTTCTAATAAGCTCCCATCTGATGTTGCTGCTGCTGGCCCACCAACCACATTTGGCAAGATGACGATTTAGTTCATCCTTCCACCTAGAATTCTGACGGTTCTATGCCTGCTCAAAGATGTCTCCAGTTCTGCTTGCACACCTCCAGGGACTGGAGGCTCACTATCTCGAGTGGCAGCCTGGGTGGCTGCAGCTGCTGCTAAGCTCTGCCAGGGTCTGCAGCAGTGATGAAGGACACCTGGAGTTCAACATGCCAAGGTCCAGGCTCTGGAACATCAGAGGTCCACAAAAGAAACTTCAGCCGGGGACTTACCAGGTTGGGAGGGGCTGACGCTTGTGGCAAAGATCTAAGCAGGGAGGATTTTCTGTCCAACTGCCTGCTCAGCAGCGCCCAGTTCAACAGAGAACACTGCCACTCCTGGGTGTTCTGGTTAGTAGAGGTTTGGTGTGATTTGTTTCCCTTTCTTTCCCCCAAGCCTTGAAGCAAGTTTTCTCTGCACTTGGGCCAGTCATGTGGTTATACCCCAGGCGAAGGAGCCAGTCTCTGACTGGTGGGGAGTGGAGAAGGGAAGGATGCTTGTGGCTAAACAGAAACCCTCAAATCCACAGGCCACATGACAACCGCTGCTCTGGTGGAACACAAGATCTCCACCTTCTCTGGGGTTGGGGCATCCAATCCCAGATCCTTCCTCCTGGGGCCTTGAGAGGCCCTGCAAAGTGGAGGATCCCCCACCCCAACATCCCCTGATGGGCTCAGGGTCACTGGGGCTGAAGGCCACATGCCCAGTACCCCATATCCCAAGGCCAACCATCCTGAAGCCCAGCTGTCAGAGTCAAGGGGGTGTGGAAACCACCTAGGCCACTCTTCACTGCAGCATGGAGGGGAAGCCGAGAGAGTGCGTGAGGCTTTCCCAAGGTCACACAGCTGACTCGCAACAAGCTCTTGTAAAGGCCCAGAATCCTTTGAGGCCGAGCTGGATAGAAGTCACTGGTATTAGTCAGACTCTTGGTCACCTATAGCAGCAACTTTCAGGAAAAGGATCTTGCAGAATAATCCTGAGGGAAAGAGGAGTGTCTCAGAGGGCAATTGTGGAAAGGGATCATGGGGGTTCACTTCTGTAGGGGAGAATCATGGATCAGAGTTTCTTGAAGGAGGGCAGAGGGCAGGGTTTCTGCTGTAACAGAACTCTAAGGGCAGCATTCGACTCATCCTCTGGTGCAAGTTGCTCCCTAGAGTTCAGTCTCTCGTGCAGGGCCCGGCCCACAGGGTGTGGGGTGGGTGGGGGACTGGTTAATGCAGTGGGGGGAGGGGGTCAGAGATGTCCCAGAAGGTCATGTTTACCGGCATCTCAAGTCTGGTTTCCTGGACCACCCCAGACCTGCTGACCCAGAATCCCTGCAGTTGGTGCTTCCCTCCCAGGAGAAATCCCTGGGTTTAGGAACCAGCCTGGGCTCACTAACTCAGACAGGGATAGGGACACCTGTTTTAAATCAGAAGCTCCACAGGCAGGGTTAGGTCCTCAGGCTGGGGAAGGGGCGCCTGTCTTCCAGGAAGCATAAGGGGAGATGGGCAGCTGGGTGTGGGAGCAGAGTGGGTAGTACCTGTCCCAGGCCGGGCTTCACTTTCCAGAAAACTGGCCAGGCCTTGCCTTCTCCAGCTTCTGGCGCCGCTCAGCAGGGATCTCCTGCAGGCTGATGCCGTGGTTGCTGGCCCTGTGACGAAAGGACAGCGGCCTCAGGGAGGGAGAACACACAGTAGGAGGGCAGGGCCCCGGTTATCCCGCTTTGGCGGGGTCGGGTGAGTCAGGGAGGAGGAAAGAGGGGATGGAGGGACCAACTCGGATGGATCCCTCATCGCTTGTAACTCGGCGGCCTGGGATGTCGGATCCTCACCCGGGTTGCAGGTCGGGCGGTTTGGGGATGGGCTTGTTGAAGCCGCGTCTGCCCACCAGCCAGTACGTGTCCTCGGCGCCCTTGCCCTGGGGAGACACGGGGGAGCGGAGGGCTTAGGCGGGCCGGGGCGAGGGCGGGTGGGTCTCGAGGTCTAAGTGGAACCAAACGGGAGACCCCGGGTGGCGCGGGGCGAGCTGTGTCTTCCAGCCGGGCCTCACCTTCAGCTCCGTGCGGCCCCGCACCTCAGTCTGGAAGCCCTCATTTAGTGCGCACAGAATCCTCACGGTGCTTATGTTCACGTGGATGCGGTAAGCTGGGACGG